AATAATGAGTTTGGAAGCCAAATTGCAGAGGGTTTAGGAGAGAGTAAGAGAAGAGGAAGTGGAGACACCTGTTTTAGGTGATTTTCTAGAGAGGAAAGAGAGGATAGATACAGGATGATGGCATGGGGACTGGGGATGGATCAAGTGAAGATTTAGGATGAGGGAGACCTAGTTGTGTTGGTAGGCATCAGAGAAGGCACCAGTAGATGGGGAGAGATGGAAGTTAATGAGAGAGCAGAGATACTTGAGGGGGGAAAGCTACTGGAGAAGATGAAATTGAGTGATGTGACATGTGCAAATAGAGGTTTACCTGCGCATAAGATGGGCCATCTCTTCATATGAAATGGGATGGAAGAGATAGTGGGAAAAGATCTGAGTTATGTGAGATGAAGAGGAAGATGAAGAAGAGGAAGGTGTTGGCAAATGGCCTGTTTTTCAGTGAAGTGTGAGGCAAAGTCCTCAGCTGAAATCGTGGGAGAAGGGGTTCCGTGGAAGCACTGAGGAGGAATGAAGAAGTGTGGCAAAGTTGCCGTGGTGAGTGGGATAGTGAACTGAGCGTCGCTGTTTGGTCGTTTCAGTCATGTCTGACTCTTCACGACCCCCTTTGGGGTTTTCTTAGCAAAGATACTGTAGGGGTTTGTCATTTCCTTCTCCAGCTCATTTTACAGGTAAGAAAACTGAGGTAAATAAGGTTAAGTGACTTACTCAGGGTCACACAGCTAGTAAGTGTCTGAAGACAGATTTGAACTCAGTCGTCCTGACTCTAGACCTGGTATCTATTGTGCCACCTCCCTAGCGAATTGATTGGAGAGGGTTAAAAAAAAAAAAGATTTCCTTGCTGCACTGAGGGTCCAGTTAGGATTATGTAACATAAATTTAGAGTGGACCCAAGCATCATAGTTCGATGATTTTAGTCCACTTTGTTCAGTAGCACGTGAATGGGAAGAGCATAGGAAAGTGGATCGTGGGAGGAAGACTGGGTACAATCTGGGCATCCTCCGACTTGTTACCCCCCATCTAGGTGACCTAGGATCTTTAGTACCTGCCATTTCCCAATGATGATCACCAGTTCTTCTTACAAACACACAGCCTCGGGGGCAGCTAGGTGGTGCAGGGGATAGAGCACCAGCCCTGGATTCAGGAGGGCCTGAGTTCAAATGCGACCTCAGATACATAACACTTACTAGCTGTGTGACCCTGGGCAAGTCACTTAACCTCAATTGCCCAACCAAAACAAACCAAACACACGGTCTCTGAAGGGTCAAAACAGAAACAATTTTATTTACGAGTTTAGAAACAGGACTTATATTTGAGCCCGCAGAAAATGATGATGCTTCCTTATGAACACCCCTCCCCCACCCTCATCCCCACCAGATACCTCTACAGTCTCTGTGACTTACAATGCTGCCCTGGGGAAGGCTCCAGATAGGGGCATTTGGGGACCATTCTTTCTAATTGGTGCCTTCTTCCATGGCTTCCCTGTCTGTGCGAAGTGCTTCTAGCAGCAATTGCCTCTTGATACTTTGTAGATGTCACTCACTCCCATCTGCCCTCCTCCTCTAGCTACATTGTAGCCCTCCCTTCTCTACTCCCAGCAGGTGGCAGTTCTGTTACTAATGCTATCCTTTACACCCCTGGCTTCCTGCGGCTCAGCTCCCATTCAGTCATTTGGTTTCCTCTGTTCTGATTGTGGCCCTCCCTAACTGGGCAGTTGAGTTTTCCTCTAGCAGATGGCGTTCATCACCCTTTGCTTTCTGCCGCTCGGCTCTCATCTGCTCACTGCCTTCTCCGCAGTTTGGCTATGTTCTAGCAGATGGCACATGTTTCCTTACTCAGGGGACCACCTCTCTAATACGGCCTGGATGGGACAAACCTCAGAGTGTTTTCCATAACTCATCCTGCCCTGCTACTTCCATGTATACATCTGTTATTCTTAAACCGTTTTTTATTTTGGGTACATGATACGGCCGCAAACCTCACCTGGGAGCTATCTTAGAGGGCTATGGGAGCCCCTTCTTGTACCCCACAAACAAGTCTCTATTGGCAGTCCCATGCAGCGTTAGCGAGGTAGTGCATCACTGTTGCCTTCTCCTCTCTCCCCAGGCATCTGGAAGATGCACTTCTTCCTCTAGTCAGAACCACCTGTTAAATCTCAGGGTATGGGAGATTACCCTTGTTTTCTCTGGATAATTGCCTCTCCCTTTCCCGTCTTCCTCCAGTGCACCTGGACTGGGTTATTCAAATTACCAGGGCTCCTTGGAATATAAAAAAAGATTGTATGTGGTGGGTGGGGAGGGGGAGAGGTGCCCATCTGGAAAGAGGGAGGAATCTATTGTTTCTGTTACAAAGGGATGGTTCATGAGCATGTGGAAAAGGAAGTGGTGATCACCAGGAACCCCTAAAGTCAGGGGTGTCAGAATTGATTAAGAGGCAAAATAGTACGGTAGGAGGAGTCAGGATATGGAGACAGAGGAGCTGGTTTGAATCCTACCTCCATACTTCTTACCTAGGTAAACTTGGGGAAAGTTATTGTACTTCTCTGGACCTCATTTACCTCATCTGCAAAATGAGGGGTTTGTACTAAATTATCTCTAAGGTCCTTTCTAGCTCTAGACTCTATGGTCCCTCTGACTCAATTATTGGATCCAGAGCAACTCATCAATGTGAGCTTGTTTTAGAAAGGTCTTTAAGTGGACTGCCCTAGGGGGTCTGTCCTAGGATCCACAACTTGATTGAAGGGCAAATTTACAGATAATATAAGGCTTCTAGGGATTAAGAGCATACAGCAACAATATGCAAAAGGATTTCAGCAAGTCTCTCTAGCAATCATCATGGCTGACATGTCTGGAGTTTGGGGCCTGGAGTCAGGAAGACACGAGTTCAAATCTAGCTTCAGACATTTACTAGCTGCATGACCCTGGGCAAGTCACTTAACTTTCATCTGCCCCAGTTTCCTCCACTGCAAAATGGGAATAATAATAGCACCTACCTGACAGGGTTGCTGTAAGTATCAAATGACATAATATTTGTAAAGAACTTAGCACAGTGCCTGGCAGAGTAGGTTTTAGTAAAATGCTTGTTTCCCCCATCCCACCCTATGTTTGTTGGTGGTTTAAGCAATTAAGCCTGAGAACCGTGAAGACAATAATGCTGGAGGACTTGGCAATTGTGGAAGGAATTTTCCCTAGGAATATGAGCAAGTGAGATTGGAAAAGTTTAGATACTAGACAATGAGCAGCTTGGGAAACTGAGCTGGGGAAATGTATTCGGAACTTGGTGAGATAAAAGTGGGAGGAGCTGAGTGTGAAGGTAAAACAAGGAAGGGCCACAGTCTAATTGGAGTCTCCCTTCTTGTTCCTCCACTTTACTCCCCCTTCCCCACTACAACATGTACCATTATGGAGGGAGTTTTGAGGACAATCTTTAAAATCAGGTTCTGTTCAACAGATTGTAACTGAATCAGGAATTTTTGATCTCCTCCTAATTTCTGCATCAGAAGGAGAATGCCTGGAGGGTGGGTGGAGGTGATGGGAGGGTAGGCCTGGATGACCTAGGGCAGCAGGCAATGGTTTTGGCAGGCTGGAGCAATGGGCCAAATGTGTTAAGATGACATTTACTTGATACGGGAAGGGCCTGTAATTTTATTCAGCATGGAGCACTCCTAGTACGGAACCTTTTCCCACCAATACAGATAACAACCAGTCTGACATAGTATAAGTCTGGGGAAGTTATATAAAGAGGCTAAGTGACTTACCCAGGGTCACACAGCTAGTACATGTCAGAGGCAGGAGTTAAACCCAGGTCTTTCTGGCTCCAGGCCTACCACTCTGTTCTCTAAGATGGCATTTAACAGGTATAAATATAAAGTCTTAAACTTGAGCTAAAGAATCAACTACACAGGTACAAGATGGGAAAGGTATGGTTAGACAATAATCTCAGAAAAATTTCCAGGGGTTTTTGTGGACTGCAGCTCATTAAGATCTAGCCAGCTGTGTCATATGATAGATAGCCAAAACTAATGCCTTGTTTGTTAGCCTGCAATTAACTCTAGCGTCTGAAATAAAGCAGGCAAGGGCCCCACCATCTTTGGTCCTGGTCAGACCAGACGGCATCTGGAGTACTTACTCAGTTCTAGGTGCCATATTTCAGGAAGGACATTGACAAAAGTCTCCCCAAGACTATGAAGTCTCTATGGGGCGTATGAGAAGCTCAGGAGAACTAGCACCTCTGGTATGAGGGCTGCTTGAGCCCTTTTCAGGGCTGCTCATCTGCCTCGGCATCCACCTGGCACCCGACTCTCACCTGTGGCTCCAAGAAACTGTAGCCTGTGCAGCGGCCGCACTCCAGTAAACCATTTCGGCAGATGGGCTAAATCAGGTTGAGGGGAACCAATAGGCTTTAAACCCGTGAGTGAGGTAGAGGGATGTCTACCCCAAGCATGTGGACACTTCCCCAGGCAGAATGGACAAATGGGAACAATTTGTTCCAATGGCCATGAAGGAGGCTGAAGCAGGCGCTGTGGGGTGCTTAGAGCTTGGTCAGACATCAAAGATGCCAAGGTCATCCACTGCATCCTGGGCCATCCCCAATCTTCCTGACTTGTGTCCTTCCACTGGACTTGGCTGACTCTGGAAGAGAGTGGGAAGCTGATGACTTTGTGCAGCCCTGCCTCACTTACACCCAATTCACTCACGAGTCAAGACGTCACCCTTGATTGTCATTGGTCCTTTTTGAAGGAGTAACACCATAATTTCTTTAAAAATAAGGTCAGGCTGCTCTTCCTCCGTCCCTTCTTTAAACTGTGAGCTCCTTGAGGACTATCTGGGCTTGCTCTCTGTCTGCTGTTCACAGGACTTATTATTTGTTGCCTCATTCATTGGCTGTTAAGGGCCTGGGAAATGGGGCTAGAATTTCTCCCTCCGGGGACTGTGACATCACAGTGCCCCGGGATGGATGAGTCCTCTAAAGGTCAGGCTGGGAGAGCTTCCTGTAGGTATCCTCTGGGACACCCTTCAATGCCAGTGAGGATGATGTGACCCCCCCTGGACCATAGCCAGGAGTGACATAGCCAGTTTGGCCCCGGAGAAAATCTGATAACTTAGTCTTATGTTGAAGAGCTGGAGAGGCAGGAGGAGCCCATCAGTTAGGGTGAACCAGAGCTGCTCACGGGGATGGGATTCCTCCTGATGGGGCCCAGGCCAATAGGTCCCAAACATGCCCAAGTCCCTGTAGGAATGCCCTGCCTCCCCATCATTGTTTATGGGACCAGATACTCCTCAGGGACATAGCCTCCTTCACTTGTTGCGGTTTTCTGACTTTCTTCCCCCTTCGCCTGCCCCTCTCCCCCTTTTGCTCAGCCTATGTTTGCCTTAGTTCCCTCGTTCCCTTCAGGCTGCCTTGGACCTTGGCCTGTAATATCTTCTACTTCCCCTCTCACCTCAGGTCTGACTCTCCTTACTGACCCCAGGTCCCTAAGTCCTTGAGCCACCTCGGGCTCTGACCTCTAGCCCTTTCTAAGGACCCTGGCTGTCCAGCTTTTCATTTCAGGCCCCTGATATACTCCTTTCCCTAGGCACCTGGACCCTTTCCCCTTGTAGGCCCCTAGCTCCCCACTTAGTTCTGAACTGCTCAGCCAAGAACTCAAAAGATGTATTCCTTCTATCTCTACCTTTTGGTAGCCTTTGGTTTCTTCTTAGTGATCTTTTTCCTTTTATTCTGGACCTTCAATACTACTCGCTCCTGGGGAGAGGTTCCCTTCTTTGTCTCCCAAGCCCCAATCAGGCCTTCAATCTGGACAGGGCAAATTCCCACATAAGCAACACGGGTTCTTCCCACTCTGTCACAGGCTGCGCCAGATACTAGTGGGATTGTTCCCTTAGACCAGAGGGCGCCTGTGTCCTTGGGATGGCAAGGGGGCTAAGTCTAATGAAGTCCAATCTAATTCTCTCTCATGGCTATGGGTCCTGGCCTGGCCCTAACCACTTTTGACTCCTTCCTGGTTGTGGCTTGGATCCTCTGGAGTATCCTCAACAATTCATGGAGGCCCATCTGGAGAGGGAGGGGCAGTGGGAGGTTCTGATTGGTGAGTTTGTGGCCTATGATTTTGTAGTGGGTGAAATGTGGGTGATGTTGGGGCCACCTTTATCATTAGGGGACAGGCAGAGCAAGAATCCAAGAGAAGCGCTTCACCGTGGTCCAGTTACCTTTGAACATGATATCTGATAGTGCCGGCTCTGGATCTTTGATCTCCTGAGATAATGGAATTTGGCAGCCCTCAGCTAACTACCTTGCTGCTGACCTGGGACCACCTGAGTTAATAGACCTTGGATTTTTTTGGCTAAAAATTTGGGGCTGCTCCAGGAAATGACTTTGGATCTCTTTGACAAGACTCTGGGTTATTTTAGTTAATTTCTTTGGACCTTTTTGGCTCAAGACATTGGACCCCCTTGGCTAATGAACTTGGACCTATTTGGCCAAGGACCTTGAGCCACTATAGTTTTTTTTTTTAAACTAAGGGCTTTGGACTACCTGCATTTGGACCTTGAACTAAGGGCTAAGGGCCTTGGCCCATCTAGCTAATGACCTTGGAGTCCCTTGGCTAAGGATCTGGGCCCACTTCAGTTAATGACTTCAACTTTCCTTGACACTAAGAACTTTGAGCCATCTCAACTAATGACTGGTTGAACCTCTTTGGCTAAAGACTTTGAGTAACCTGGATTAATGACTAAGGATTTTTGGCCACCATGGCTAATATCATTTTGGATCTCTTTGGCTAAGGACCTTGGGGCTCTTTGTCTAAGAGCATTGGTCCACCTCAGCTAATGACATTGGACCTTTCGGGTTGAGGACTTTGGGCCAAACAGCCAATGCTTTGGATCTCTTTGGTCTTAAGATCTTTGTGCTACCTCATATATTGATTTTGGACTTATTGTGGCTAAGGACCTTGGGTCACCACAGCTAATGACCTGAGATCTTCTTGGTCAAGGATTTTGGACGATCTCATCTTGGACCCTGGATCTCTTTGGCTAAGGACCTCAGGTCACCACATCTCATGAACTTGGATTTCTTGGGTTAATATGTTTGGTATTTTTCACAAATAAAGACCACCTTGTTTGTATCAGGCTCTCTGTCCTTGTCAGTACTTCTGAGCATTCAGTAGAGAAGAGCAGCCTGAGACCTGGTTAGGCATTCATGGCCATCCCTGGAGCAATCTCCAGACATTTATGATGAGAAAACATTCGTAACAACTTCATGTTTCAATGCCCATCAACAGAGTATGTCCCGCCAAGCACTGCTCAGGTCAATAAATCTTGATGTTCAACAAAACCAAATCCCACATCTCTTTAATACCAGGCTATCCATGAAGTGTGCTGGTGGAGGGGTGGGGGGAGATCGTGGGGAAGGGAAGTGGGGAGAATTTCATTTCTGAACGGATTAAGCTTCATGGTCTGGTCGAGGTTACAAAGTCATTGATTACTATTGCTTTATGTGTGCATGGCCTTATTACTGTTTCTTTTGTCCTTTGGGAGGTGAAGTGGTTTATCTGTCTTAATAGACTCAGTATTAAATCTTCAGAATATTTCTCTTTTTCAGTTCGACTGACGTTTACTGAAGGCTCGGCAGCCCTGTGCCGGGATTCAATTTAATTTAATTCAAACCATTCATTAGTGGTTAATTTCATGGACATCTCTGAGCAAGGCTCTGAGACTACTAGATGAAAAAGTGACAGAGTTCCTGCCCTCAAGTAGTCTATATACAACTGGGGGAAGATGGCATGTACACGCATAAATGCAGCACATATGGCACAGACATACATAGATACAGTACATACTAGAGGGGGATGGGACAAAGGAGATGTCCTTCTGAGAGATGAAGTGCTTTAATAAAAATTTGGGTGATACTCTTAAAATCAGGGATGACTTCAGGGAGGAGGTGAGCCTGGAAAGATCCTGAAAGGCAATGGGGTGAGGAGGTAGGCTGGGGTTGGAGACACCTCTAAAAAGAGGCAGTCCATGGAGGAACACCTTTCTATATGAATGCAGAAAATGGCATGTTTAGTTTGGGGAAGCTGGAGTTCAAGAAGGGGAGAGGGCTGGAACGGTAGAGGGGACAGCCATATTGCAGATCTTAATAGTTCTTGCCTTCACTGAGCCCACTGTCATATAGTGATGATGAGGTAAATCTAGAAATAGCTACAATATGAGAAAATATGTGATATAGAGGAATCGTGAGAAGCTTAAAAACAAAAACTACAAAGTTAGGGGATAAGTTAGCTCTGACTGGGAGCAATCACAAAAGACTTCCTGGAGGAGGTGCACTGCTTGATCTGGCTCCTGAAGGACAGGTGACATTTGGACACATGGAGATAGGCATTACAGGAAGAAAGAATGAAGTTGGAAACCTGGCAACAAATCCTGGGTACAGTGGATGCTATAACCTGATTTGAGGAAGAGGTATTTGAGAGAGAGTCAGGAAGGGAGGGTGGAACCAGACCACCAAGGGCTCTGAATGCTAGGCTTAGGAGCATGAGTTTTATGGTAGCGCATTGAGTACTGGATTTGGAGTCAGAAAGACTTCATTCAAATCCTGCCTTACTGACTGTGTGACCTCAGAGGAATAACTTAAATCTCTCTGAGCCTCAGTTTCCTCATCTGCTGAAAGGGGGATACAGTTTATACCTTCATACCAACTTCAATGATGTAAGGTACAATGAAATAATGTGTACAAAACTCTTTGTAAACTTTAATTTAAAATATTATGTAAATGTTGGAGAGGTAGCATTACACAGTAGATAGAAAGCTGGTCCTGAAGACAAGAAAACTCTGAGGTCTTCAAATTCTCTGATACATACTAGTGTGACCCTTGGCAAAATCACATAACTTCTCAGTGCCCAGCAGCTATCTAAGACAGTTAAGTTGCAGAGAAGGTACTGATCTGCATTGATAGAGGAAGTATTCATCCGGAGCTCCCTATACTGAAAAAAAAAGCAGGTCTAGTTAAAAAAAAGCAGGTCTAGTTCTGAAGGCAGAGTGGAGCCATTGAAGACTTTTGAAGGAGAGAGGAAGTGATTAGATTGCTGCATTAAGATTAGTCTGCTGAATGCAAGATTGATCAGAGGGGAAGGATGGGTCAGAGGGTCACTCATTAGGTGTCATCAGTTCATTGAACACTGATTAAACACCACCTGTGCTGGATAATGAGAGCACAAAGATAAGTCATGAACCCTATTCTCAAGAAGCTTTGAGCCTCATGGGGGAAGGATAAGTATCATAAATCCCTATGATTCCAGGTAGGGTAAAATAAGTGCAAATGGGAGATCCAGGCAAAGTGCCTTGAGAGACCTGAGGAATAACAATTCGAGAGATGGAAGAGACCTCAGTGGCTACTGAGGAGGAAGAGGACCCTCACTTGAGACCTTGGATGTCTTCAGGGAGTAAGTAGCCCCTGAACTGGGCATTTCTTCTCTTTTTATTAGCTTGACTTCTTATTTTTGACAATAATCTGGGGAAAGGTGATATGGGGTGGTGGCCTCAGGATGGTAAGAGAGGAGGACCCTGATAGCACAGACATTGGGTGTAGCTTAATTAACAGTGTTGGCAAATAGGAAGCTATTTTGACAACTATCCTTGGACTCTTGGACAAAAACCATGCCAAACTCACCACTGATACCAAGAAGGTCCTTTTGGTTTTGTTTTGAATAGGGGGTGTGGGTTTATAAGTACTTTTTACCAATTATGTGATTAGTTTGGGTTGTTTCCCCAAACTTGCTGATAAAAACTGGCTCAACAACCCATTAAGCCAACTTAATCAGGCAGTAGCTGGCTAAATGCTTATTAAATTTTAAAAAATTATTTTCTAAAATACACAAGAATGATTTTTTTTTCTCCTTTACAAATTTGATGTAGAAAAATGCAGATTAGAAACACTTGCCTGTTATTCTGATGTCTGCCACCAGGTGGCGGAAGACGCACGTGGCAGTGGCAATGTTCCTAACCTACAGCTCCTGGAACAGGGGCTTTATATAGTATGGCTTCTATTTTATTCTTTCAATGTTTCTCTCCTCCCTCCTCGACCTCCTCTCCCTCCAACTTCCATTTTCATCTACCAGCTTTTCTCTGGAGGACAGCAAGGAGTAGTAGAAATAGCCTGAATTTGGTGAGCAGCGCCCTGGCTTTGAATCCTGCCTCAAACACTCAGAAGTCTGTATTGACTGTGGAGGAGCCTGAGTTTTCTCGTCTGCAAAATGGGGACAACGCCTGCAGCATTGACGGGTTGCTGTGAAGCTCAAATGAGATAATGTATGTAAAGTGCTTTGCAAACATCAAAGCTATATATAGACGTGTGTTAACTTATTTTTGACTTCACAGGACTGTTGTAATCTTTAAGGCACCACAGAAATTTAAGCTTGGACTATAATCATATTGTCCAAGTCCCTCAAGAGGAGGGCATTTGTTTAGGTCACATAGTGAGCTGGGAGTAGAGCCAGGCTATAATCCAAGCCTCCTGATCCAGGATTCTCTGGCCCTCTTATTGGGCTACCCCTCCTTACATTTTCAGGTCTTATTCCCAAAGTGCTCATCTGTGAAACTGTTTTAGAGGTGATGCTCAGGAACCTTGAATAGGTCATATTAGGTGGGTCTCTAATAATAATAACAAAAGGCATTTCTATTGTGTTTGTAAGATTTACAAAACCAAACTTTATATAAATTAGTCCATCTTATCATAACTACAACTTATGATGTAGGCATTTATTACTCTTCTACAGACGGGCAAACTGAGAATCAAAGGGGTTTTGTGACTCACCCAGGGTCACACATCATATTATATGCATAGCCACAGTGAACAGGTCATGTTTGCTACCCACAGGTTCCTTTTAGCATTAATGTTCACAAATGACAAATCAACGAATAGTGAACTAGGACCATCTTATAGCAGGAGTTCTTAACCTCTTTTTATCATGGACCCTTTGGACAGTGTGGTGAAACCTCTGGATCCAACCTCCAAATAGTGTTTTTAAATGCATAAGATAAAATATGCAGGATTACAAAGGAAACTAATTTTATTGAAACATACCAGTGATTAAAAAAAAAAAAAGAAATATACCAGTGGTCAATTATTAAAAAAAAACCAACCACAACAAACCACAAGTTTATGGACTCCAACTTCTGGGTTGTATGACTTTGAGCTAAGTCCCTTACCCTCTCTGAGCTTCAGTTTCCTTCTTTGTCAAATTGGGGTGACAATGGCATCTGCCTTGGACTCTGGGGTTCCTGCTGCCTCTGAGCTCCACGTCCTGGTCTCTTCAATCAGGCCTCTCTGATGTTGCCTCTCAAAGTACAGAGCCTCCAAGACGCCGTGCCAGTGGCTTGGATTAAGCATTAATTCCCTGACAGAAAGCCCGGGGCAGGCCTTCTCTTAGTCATAAACTTTTGACTTGAAAAGACCAAGATCTACCTGAGGCTTTACTCCAACCGTGCGGACCCGCAAATGGTGGGGCCCACCCCACTCTCCCACTGCTTTCCCAGCCACCAGTTTTATTCAGTCCTTGTTTACTGGCCCTCCCCTCTTCACTCCCCTAGTCAATCTTTTCATTCCTCTGGTTTGCTGCAAGCCCAAGAACCTCATGCTAATGGCCCAGAGCCCTTCCTGCGGGGAAGTGAGAGGATCCCAAGTCACCAGGATCTTAGTGGGAATCCGGTTACTGTCTCACGAGATTCTGAGAAATTTTCATAAGAAACCATCGATAGAGTCAGCAACAGCACAGCTAACAACCATAGTGCTTCACAACTATCTCAGTGGGTGCTCACAGCAACCCCGAGGGATTGGCTCTGTTGCTATTATCCCCATTTTATGGGTGAGGAAACTGAGGCAAAAAGAGGCTGAGTGGCTTGCCCAGAGTCATGCAGCTAAGGAGCATCTGAGACTGCATTTAAACTTCAGTCTTCCCGATTTTAGGCCCAGCGCTCTACCCACTGCACCAAGGAGGGGCTAGTTCAGTACAAAGGAGGGACTAACTAGGAACAGGATTCCAGGTTTGGGGACAGGCTGGGAGGTCTTCCCGGCAGGATTCACTCTCACCTCACTGAACATTTACAGTGTCCAGTGCTAGCCTGAACC